CCCTTAGAGATTGACTCATCATCTTTCTCATAAGGTTCAAGAGAGGGTTTTTCAATAACCTTACCACTGCGCAGAGTAGTGACTGATTTGACTTGATCCATGTGTTGGCTTCCGGAACTACTTGCATTTGCATTGTATTGCCCCTTGGGATTTTGTTGTGGTTGAGATGGAAACTTACCTTTCTCTTGGAAACTAAGAGCAGATGTTAATTTAGCAAGAGTATCTTTAAAATCTGTCATGTTTTGAGCAAGTTGAGTATTGATTGTCTCTTGCTTTTCAATGAATGCATGCAATGTTTCCTCAAGATTTCTTCTAGGAGGTGGAGCATAAGGAGGTGCATATCCATGAGAATTTTGGAAATTGTGGTGTGCTTGAAATGGTGGTTGTGAAGTTTGTGCATTGTTGTTCTCACTCTTCCAACTGAAATTTGGATGATTTCTCCAACCAGGGTTGTATGTTTGGGAGTATGGGTTGTGGTTGGCCCTTTGGAAACTGTTTAAAGCATGGGCTTGTTCATGGAGACATTCCTTAAAAGAAGGCAAGGTTGGACAATCGTTGGTTGAGTGTTCATTTGTTTCACAGATTTGACACACAATGTTTTCAACAGATTTTAATTGACCACTCTTTTTCAATTCTAGTGCCTCGACTTTTCTAGCTAAAGATGCAAACTTGGCTTGAAGGTCATGATCTTCCCTAAGGTTGTACATACCTCCACTAGATGTATGAGGTTGAGTTTTACTCGGTGCCTCATAAGTACCCGCGGTGTCCCAATTTTGAGCATTTTCAGCTAACAAGTCTAAGTACTCCATTGCTTCATCAGGGTCTTTATCTTCAAAAGTTCCATTGCACATCAATTCAACCATTTGCCTATCTTTAGGTGTTAACCCTTCATAGAAATGTGAAACCAATCTCCATGTTTCAAAACCATGATGAGGGCAAGTACTAAGCAAGTCTCGATACCTATCCCAACATTTGTAAAATGTTTCTCCTGGTTTTTGAGTGAAAGTGGTGATTTGTCTCTTGAAAGAGTTTGTTCTATGAGATGGGAAAAACTTCTTCAAAAACTGTTGTTGCATTTCATCCCAAGCACGAATGGATCCTGGTCTTAAATTTTGTAGCCATGTTTTAGCTTTATCTTTTAATGAAAAAGGAAAAAGCTTTAATCTGATGGTGTTCATGCTACAATTTAAGTTATTATATGTGTTGCACACCTCCTCAAATTCCCTTAAATGCAAGTATGGATTTTCCAATTCTAAACCATGAAAAGAAGGTAAAAGTTGAATAATACCTGGTTTAAAATTAAAATGAGATGCATCAGGAGGAAAAACTATGCATGATGGTGCACTTGTTCTTGTGGGATTCATGTGGTCTCTAAGTGTTCTAGCACGGTTATTCTCATTATTTTCATTATGAAGTGATTGATTATCTTCTTCGGCCATATTTTCTGAAAATGATGAGGATACCCTACAAAGTCTACCACTTGATGTACGTGACCACACTCTCATGCACGTGTAGGAATAAAA